TTTATCCTCCTTGGCTCCAGTGTGTCATTATTCTTATCCACATCCAGCTTTTATTCCTGAATGCTGGTCCAACTGACCTGTAGTGATTGATGTTGGGCTCAACACTAGCCACAGAAGCAACGACCTGTGCAGACTTTCTACCAACTCCCACAAATCGATAAGGTCTAACCCCTTCCATTAATTCCTCATTCTAATCACTCACAGTGCTTCTACTCTGATTTTAATTGATATACCAGGTAACCACTTTTATTAGTTACTGAAGGATGTTCTTATTCTTTACCTTTTAAAGCGTATGATATATACTCTTCTGCATCTGGTTTTATCATGTAACAATATCTCTTTGAGATCCTTTCATGCCAATATATAAAGAATTCTCTCATTGCTTTTTTATAGTTGTATAGTATTCCGTTGTCGAGATGTACCATATCTTTTTTTACCAGTTCCCTATAGATAGAAATTTGAATGAAAATTGTGCAGGGATGTGTGTGTGTGTGTGTGTGTGTGTGTGTACATGTTTTCACATTGTGTACCACACTGAGTAGTAAGGGTCTTGACATCAAGGGCCTTGTTTTCCTTGTGTCCTTAGAACCTAACAAAGCCTAGTGTACAGTAGATTCTCAGTAAATTGTTTGTTGAAAGAAGGATGTACTTCTCCACTTTCTCCATAGACGATGCTGTTAACACCTGTCACTTTCATTTCCATTTACTCTTAAATTTCCATTTTCAGCCAAGGCTACCCTGAAGGACCCAGAAACCAAACTCCCATCTCTGCCTCAGCCCAGAATGTCTAATTGCCTCCTCCCCATCTCCACTTGGATGTTTCACAGAATTCCTCTGTCTCAGCATTTCCAAAACTGAACTTCTCACTCCTAATCCCCTCCAACCTACATGCTGTGCTTTGGATATGGTTTGTTCGGGCCCCCAAAATCTTATGTTGAAATGTGATCCCAGGCCAGGTGCGATGGCTCACACCTGTAATCCCAGCACTTTGGGAGGCTGAGGAGGGCAGATTACTTGAACTCAGGAGTTTGAGCCCAGTCTGTCCAACATGGCAAAACCCTGTCTTTACTAAAAATACAAAAATTAGCTGGGCATGGTGGCAGGCACCTGTAATCCCAGTCACTCGGGAGGCTGAGGCATGAGAATCACTTGAACCTCATAGATGGAGATTGCAGTGAGCCGAGATTGTGCCACTGCGCTCCAGCCTGGGCAAAAGAGCAAGACTCTGTCTCAAAAAAAAAAAAAAAAAAAAAAAAAAAGAAATGTGATCCAGGCAGAATGAGAGTGGTGGCTCTCAAGCCTGTAATCCCAGCATTTTGGGAGGCTGAGTGGGGCAGATCACTTGAGGCCAGAAGTTCGATATGGGCCTGGCCAAAGTGGTGAAACTCCATCTCTACTAAAAATACAAAAATTAATTGGGCATGGTGGTGTACGCCTGTACTTCCAGCTGCTTGGGTGGCTGAGGCATGAGAATTGCTTGAACCCAGGGGGTGGAGGCTGCAATGAGCTAATAGCGCCTCTGCACTCCAGCCTAGGCAACAGAGTAAAACTCTGTCTCAAAAAAAAAAAGAAAAAAGAAAAACAAAAGAAAGAAATGTGATTCCACAGTGTCTCCAGGGAGGTGGGGCCTAATTGGGGGTGTTTGAGTTGTGGTGCCATTCTAGGTAGTGAGTGAGTTCTGGCTCTGGTGAGGCTGGATGAGTTCTCACAGGAAATGATTAATTCCCAAGAGAGTAGGTTGTGCTAAAGCCAAGATGCCCCTCGAATTTGAACTGGGATTATAGGCACGTGCCACAACGCCCGGCTAATTTTTGTATTTTTAGTAGAGACGGGGTTTCACCATGTTGGTCAGGCTGGTAAAGACCAAAACACTTCTTATATTAAATATTAAAGGAAATATGAACTATATATATATAAGACAGATAATGAAAATGAGCAAGATAATTATTTATCCAATTATTCCATCTCAGGGTCACAGGTGGCCAGAGTCTATCCTGGCAGCTCAGGACAGGAGCCAACCCTATACAGGATGCCATCCCATTGAGCACACGTGTGCGCATATGCACACACACACAAACACACACACACATACACACATAGACTGGGACAATTCAGACAAGCCAATTCACCTAAAGGGCACATCTTTGGGATTTGGGAGGAAACCACAGGAACCAAGGAAAACTCAGACATGGGGAGAGAGTGCAGACTACACAGACAGGGGACCCAGCCAGGAATCAACTTTTTCTCATCAATGTTATAATTGACTTGATGTTATTGGAGGTCCTGCTCTACTTAACTCCTCCAAGTACCCTAAAAGTCTCAATACCAATGCATCACTGACTCATAATGGATCCTGTCACGTAAATCGGGTCCAGATGTGGATGAGGTTCCTAAGATATAATTCCTCAAGAACAGCTCTGAGCACCGTTTCTCTGAAGGCCTATGAGCCCGAGACGTTATCTCCTCTCCACGGATCCAGCATACAGAGTTGGCAAGCAGAAGATAAGCACAGTAGACACTTTTGTTCAAAAGGGCAAAAAACAGGAGTGACAGCTGCCACTGGGTCATAGTAATTCTGAAATCCAGCAAGGCACGTGATGCCAGTTCCTTGATTGAGTCCTCTCCTGCTCCTTGGGAATGATTACCTGCAGCTCCTGGCTCTATCCTTCTGGCTCATGGGTTTCTTTTAAGTCGTCCTTTCTTTCCCATAGGAAATAGCCCATGTTTGCATCTGAATAGCCTTCTCAGAAGGCTTCTTAGAAGGCTGGGGCCCACATGTCCCATTTTATTTTTGTGCTCTGCCTTTTCTGGTATAATTGTCCCTTGCTATTTGCGGTGGATTGGTTCTAGGACTCAGATGCTCAAATCCTGCAGTCAGCCCTGCCAGACCTGGGGATAAGGACTACTGCATTCCCAGTTGCTACTTTATCTTCAAACCTAGCATTTTGATTGGCTGCCGAATGGGGTGGAATTATCATAACTCTTGGCCTTTGAAACTATTCTCAGTTTTCATTCCCCTGAATACTCTGTAAATTCTACACATTGAGCACCTACTGTACCCCAACACTGTTTTAAGAATCAGGGATATCGCAGTGAATGAGACAGACAAAAATAGCTGCCTTATGGACCTGCCATTCTAGTGGGGAAGGCAGACAATATGCAAATAAGTGAGTAATATAAGAGGAAAAACTTTGGGAGGCTGAGTCGGGAGGATTACTTGACACCAGTTCAAGACCGCCTGGGTAACATTTGGTCTTTTTGGTAAAGACCTTCTCTTTACAAAAAAAAAAAAAAAATTAGCCAGCCATAGTGGTGTATGCCTGTGGCTACTCAGGAGGCTGAGACAGGAAGATCACTTGAGCCCAGAAGTTCAAGGCTGCAGTAAGCCCTGATTATGCCACTGCACTCCAGCACGGGCAACAGAGCAAGACCTTGTCTCAAAAAAAGAAAAAAAAAAAAAAAAAAAAGAAAAAAAAAAGGAGAAAAGCCGTAGGGAGATGGCAATTTTTGTGTTTATGTTGTGGTGACAGAGAGAGGGACTTCAGTTTTAAATAGGGAAGGCTATTTCACTGAAAAGGTTACTTTAAAGTCAAGACCAGAGGAAAGTGAGCGAGTGGCCAAGCAGATACCTGGAGGAAGAGCTTTCCAGGTAGAGAGAAGTACAACTGCAAAAGTCTGATGTAGATGTGTGCCTTCTCCTTTCTTTTTTATTTATCTTGGAAGAGACAGTCTTGTTATGTTGCCCAAGCTGGTCTCGAACTCCTGGGCACATGCAAAGTGAAAGCAGAGAAAAGTAGACTTACCCCAGAAGCTGATGGTCCTGCAGTGTGCAAGGCCATTTCAGAATACACATAGAGAAAACAGGAGAATAGGTAGCGAGGGTTTTGCGGAAAGAGCCAATTTTAGTTGAAAAAGTAGGGGAAACCCCAGACATTGTGCCATCTCAGGGTTGGGACTGCTTGCCTAGATTTCGAGGTTTGTTTTTTTTTTTTCCCCCGGACCCCTCAACTTCTGAGATCTCAATGGGAAGCTGCTGATAACCAGTTTTAGGTGTTTTTATCTATTGGGAGACTCTTTCCCTGGTTCTGACTGCAACCAATTATTATTTTAGAGAGATAGCTTAATCTGACCACCACGTCATGGTTGCCTCACATTGCTGGTGGGGGAGTGGCCCCTCTCCTGCCCTGCTCAGGTCTAACTACTTACTTACTGTAACAATTGCAAGGTTTTTGGATGGAACAATTGAAAGAATGGAGTTTGCATGAACCAAAATAAGAAAAGACTATTAGAGGACATTGTTAAAGATGGAGACAAAAGTTCTGAGTGGATCCTGATGTGTTCAAATGGGGCTGGTGCTTGGGAGGCTGCTCTGTGCTTACAAGAAGAGTTCTACCAGGTCCATCTTTATCACATCTTCTTTAATACTAAGTTCAGAGAGGCTTTAGCTCATTTTCCATTTTCTCGTGCTGTCTCCTCTGCCAAAGTGTCTATTTCTCCTGTCTCTATTACTGAGTCACACAATTGCTGTAGTCATTTGCAGTCTACTAGAACGATAACACACATTGGCATCAGACAGACCTTGGTTCAAAACCCTGCTCCACCAGTTTCTGTGTTGAGCTAGTCCAAGTGACCTGATATGTTCGGTCTCAGTTCCTTATTTGTAAAATGGTGATAATAATTTTTGGTTAGGTAGTTAAAGTAAGGATAAATGATGCCTTCCGAAGAAGGACACAACTGGAATGGCCAGTTTACCCCTTGACATCTCTTCGGTGGCATTCTTTATTCTGGAGCAAGGAGGGATGGCTGAGGGAATCTGTCTGTGGGTCCAACATGGCGCCGTCCTGCTCCTTGTACAAGCCTCAAAGATGGGGACAACCGTTTGGGAGCAGACATGTTTGCAGCACGTGATCCAGGCTCTGTCCCAAGGCAGCCGGAACGTGACGCAAGGTTGAGGCGGGGCTCCTCCTCCGCACCCTGGCGTCGAGCGTCTCGTGACAGGTACTTCCGCTCGGGGCGGCGGCGGTGGCGGAAGTGGGAGCGGGCCTGGAGTCTTGGCCATAAAGCCTGAGGCGGCGGCAGCGGCGGAGTTGGCGGCTTGGAGAGCTCAGCAGAGTTCCCTGGAACTAGAACTTGGACCTCCCCGCTTCTGTCCTCCGTTGAGTCTTCTCCTCGGCGGGAGCCCTCGCGACGCGCCCGGCCCGGAGCCCCCAGCGCAGAGGCCGCGGTAAGCAGCGGGCCCAGCCCGGCCGGCGGCCTGGCCCCATCCCCCTCCTCAACTCCTCGGTCGCCAGGGCCTCGCGTCCTCCCTGTCCTCCTGGCAGGCTCCAGGCCCAGCCCTGGCCTCGCGGGCAAACTCGGCATCGCTCAGGCCCACGGAGCAGGCTAGGACCCCACCCGGCTTGGAGAGGTCGGAGGTCGTCGGGCGTGACCTCTGGCCGGGTTGCCGGCCCCGGCCGCCGGTCTCGGACGCTCTGTTTACTGTTGGCGTCGATCTCAGAGACCCAAGAGGGTTCATTGACTTGGACGGCCCTGCGCCGCGGCAGGACGCGCTAGCCGGTGGAGTTATTTAGCGTGGCGAGCAGGAGGGTGGCAGAGCCCACGCCGCCCGCCGCCGTGCCCACCTGGCGGGCATGGGTCACAGGCGCTGGGGGCCGAGCCGCGTTCCCATCCGGCTCTTCAGTTGAACAGCCTGACCCTGTTAGTGGGAGAGGTTCCCTGACGGCAACTGAGTCAAGGCGTGAGTCAGGTCACGTGCGCTGGAATCGCCTCAACACTTGTGTACATTGAGGCGCCTCTGGCGCTGGGAGACAGGGAGCTTTTTGTCCTAGGCATGTTACGGTAAATCCTGAGAGAAGTTTTTCAACTTAGTCGGGGAAAGATGGTAATTGGATGTAGAGTTGTGTTTCCATTCGGACCGTGTTGGGGGCCTCTTTCTGCATTCATTTTACGCTTGATACCTAATGGGTCATAAGGGGAATATTGAGAATACTGACAGCAAATATTTGAGCGTTTGTTATATGCTAGGCAGCGTGGCAAGACCTTTTAACAGATCATTATGTTTAGTTCTTTCAACAACCCTCTAAAGTACCACTGTTGTTCCCACTTAACACAGTGGGAAATTGAACAGAGAGGCTAAGCCATTTGACCAAGGTCACACAGCTAAGTTACGAAGCAAAGATGCAAGCCCAGGCAGTCAGACTCCAGAGCACTGTATTCAATTTCTAGGTTATACTGCTTTCACGTGCCCCTGAAGCTTGTGCTTTATCTTTTGCCACCTGGTATCTGTACCTCACTGCCTTCCACCACCTCCTTTCTGTCTGTTGATGTCGTTTGAAAGTCTTTCTGGTAGCGTCAGTTCTCGCTTAAAGCCATAAGAAATGCCGTTTGCAACTTATCACACATATTGTAGTGTAGTTGAATTAGGAGCTCTTGAATACTGGCAGGGTACTTAACTGAGGTTTGAAAAATTTTGCAGGTAGGCCTGGCAAAGCTGCGTAGTGAACCTTTCTTACAACCTTAGTTGATGGCTGTCCAGCCAGTTGGTTCTTCCCTATTCAAAATACTGCATCTTTGGTTTCCTAAAGAACAGGCTCTTGTCTCTTTCTTGTGACTTAAGCAGCTGATGAGGCACATGATTTCTCATCCATGGATTAATAAAGTCTCCTCTTAGTGTGTTTCTCTCTTCAAACCTGGGAAGGTTTGTTCAGATTTGGATTTAAGAACTGGAAGGTGAGTTAGGAGTGCTTCTCCTGAAGGGACTGGCTAAGTTAAAGCTTAGCGTTCGCAATCCTGTTGTATTCAAATTTGTCTTTTTTTTTTTTTTTTTAACTTTGCTACCCAGCCTAAAATATTTAAGTGAGTAATAAGTACTGTAGCTTTATATAATGTTTGAGTTTAGAGGAGAGTAATGATAGGCACCTTTTTATTCATTCATGAAGTATTTTGAGTATCCATTGAGTATCAGCAATGTATCAGGCGTGTGAGATGTTGACTCAGGGAGATAGGCATGGTTCCTGTCCTCAGGGAATTTTTAAAAGGTGAATGATCTTGGCCAGAAATTCTATTGTGGAATGATTTGGTGGTAGAACTTGAGGCTTTTTGGAAAGAGTTATTTCTCATTTCTGCTGATGAATCCGTAGTAATCCAAAGGATGGTGTTCTGGCTAACTTTAAGGCTTTGTTAATTTTAACAACAGCATTTGTATGGCTTGCTCTTCAGAGAGTGTAGAAGATAATATTACAGTTTCTAATTTATCACATCTTTTAAAGAGTAACCTTCAACACTCAACTTGTTTCTCCTTTTGCTCTGGTGGCATTTGTTTTGTTTTATTTATTTTTTGACACAGAGTTTCTCTCTTGTTGCCCAGGCTGGAGTGCAATAGTGCGATCTCAGCTCACTGCAATCTCTGCCTCCCGGGTTTAAGCCATTCTCCTGCCTCAGCCTCCCGAGTGGCTGGGATTACAGGCATGTGCCACCATGCCTGGCTAATTTTATATTTTTAATAGAGACAGGGTTTCTCCATGTTGGTCAGGCTGGTCTCGAACTCCCTACCTCAGGTGATCTGCCTGCCTTGGCCTCCCAAAGTACTGGGATTACAGGCATGAGCCACTGCGTCCGGCCGACTCTAGTGGCATTTTTTTTGTTCACTCGAGAGGTAGTCCATGTCACTACCATTACCTTGCACTGCAGTGTCTTTGAGCAAAGGTACATTTGGACATTTGGCATACTGGATTTTTTTCTTCAGCTGGCAAGAAAGTTTAATGTAGCACTGATACTGTGTCGGCCATAGTTTCAGTACCATTCTACATAGAAAAGCTGTGCTACCCTATCTCCCACAAACTTTCTAGGTTCCCTTCAAGAGAAGATTTAGATTTTGCATTTGTGGTAGAACTGCATGAGTAAACAGAGGGTGGAATGTAGAAGATACTCTAAAAATAGTTTTATTAGTATATCCTTCTAGGTAGTTAGCAACCACGTGGGGCAATTTTTTTCGTGTTTTTTTTGATGCCAACTGTGTCTAAGCTCACAAAACCTGTATCAGAGAACAACGCTTTATAGTAAAGTGTGGCTTTGAATCAGTTTTCTGACCCCACTGCCAAGTGAAGCCAAAAAATTTTGGTTATTTGATTAGCTTTTAATACGTCTTCAAAGAGTTCTTTGCTAATAACATTTTTGCTCTTACTTTGGCATTAGCTTTTGTATACAAAGATGCAGCAAACACAGACCACACAAATATGACAGTTGTCTTATGCACATTGCTCTCTGGCATTTGACACAAATATTTTAGTTTTTCCTATGATAAAGTATTTAACTCCCCATTCATATAATTCAACAAATACAGCTGAGATAGATTTGACCAGATGTTGGACTTAGAGCTGTAGGCAGGCTTTTTTTTTTCCTGGAGAGGTAAGGATTAGAAGTCCTTCTGAATAAGGCTAAACAGAGGTTCCCCTTGGCACTAAATGTCTTCTGAAGGCGACTGAAACTGGAGAAATGAACTCCCCGCCTCCCCCCTTATTTTTGGCTATTGGCTTGCTGTTGATGACTCTTACCTCTCATATAAGGAAGGTTGCCGCTGTGTTCTCAGGCATCCATTCCTTTGTGTTACCATGAGCTTTTCTGTTAATATCATTTAATAGTTCTCTGTGCTTCTCTGTCTGCAATTTGCTGCAGAAACATTTTGCAATGTGTTGATCTTTTCAGTTATTTGCTCTTACATCTTCCCTCTATTCTGTTTTTCCCCACACTCCATATGGCATTAAAGACAGAAAAATAGTTTGCGTTTGTGTTTTAAAACTTTTTTTTCTTTTTAGGAGGAGTCTTGCTCTGTAGCCCAGGCTGGAGTGCAGTGGCGCCATCTCGGCTCACTGCAAGCTCACCCTTCCAGGTTCATGCCATTCTCCTGCCTCGGCCTCCCGAGTAGCTGGGACTACAGGTGTCCGCCACCACGCCTGGCTAATTTTTTTGTGTTTTTAGTAGAGACAGAGTTTCACTGTGTTAGCCAGGATGGTCTCTAGGATGGTCTCGATCTCCTGACCTCGTGATCCGCCTGCCTCGGCCTCCCAAAGTGCTGGGATTACAGGTGTGAGCCACCATGCCCGGCCAAAAACTTATTTTTAAAACATTTCTTAATGGTAGTTGTGGTCACTGCGATTTGTGAATCAGAGGTATAAGTGATGTGGCGAGTGAAATCAAAACAGATTTTTTAGCAGTGTCTGTTACCAGTTTCAATTTTAGTATCCGAGGCTGTGATTACAAAAACATATTTAAGAATAGCTACTTGCAAAATATCTCCTTGGGGGAGGAGGAGAAAGCTTGGAAGTTGGTTCCAACACTAATCTACAGTACTGGCCTTGTTCATTTGCTTGAAGATGCAGTACTTAACTCATGGGACCTGGAGTCTCTTTTGGTGATGGCATCACTGCTGAGAAATTAAGTTTGCCTGATTCTTTTGTCCACTTCTGGTCTCCTGGGACTGTCTACAGTTGGGACCAAGCAAATCTGAGGAAGCCTATTAAGGGAAGCCTGGGACCAGGGCAGTTTAGGAATTCTCCAGCCTTACTTGTCTCTTAGTTGGTCCTACTTGTGTGGCTGCTGCCGTAGGAGGTTCTCTCTTCTCCCTCAGCCTTTCCTTTCCAGCTTTGCTTCATACTACTGGGCATTAACCATCTCACATTAGGAGTCCCTTAAAAATTACTTAGTGAGATAAATAGTTATATCATTGATTTCCAGTATTGGTATGTAAGCACAATAAAAAGTTGGTTTCCATTTAGTAAGCTTTGTACTTTGAGCTGTTTGAGAGTACGTATTTACAAAGCTGCTATGAATTAACCTTAAGTGACACAGCATAGACTTTATGAAAAGTAGTGTCCCTTATATATGGTATGCAGTCAGCCAACCAGCAGTTCTCCCGTGCACTTACAGATATGGGGATCCCTGAGATAACTGCAGGTCATCTAAAACCCACTCTTAAATCCTCTGACCTGCACCATGTTGATGGTTGTTAAAAGAGCAATAACATTTTGTAGAAACCTTCCTACACATTTGCTTTTAAATGCTTTTTAATATTTCTGTGCTGTTGAGTTTACATATGATTTCATTTGGTGCTCACAACTGTTGTGTGTATCTGCCTGAGATAGCTGAGGCTGTATGCTCATGTGGCTCAGCTGGAATGTCAGTTTAGGTCTGTTAACTCAGCTCAGTGCTCTTTCTGATATACCATCT